TTGAAACCTATAACCAAGACAAAAACAATTTAGGAAAAGTTAACAAAGAAATAGATTTTGTATCTAATAAGACAGTGATGTGTTTAGGATAGTTAGCTTACCTTGTTATATTTCTTGTAGAGGAGGTTTGCAGGGATTCCTACCAAGTCTGAACACTCCCTATCCCATAAAAGGAAGGGAGCATCTGATAATCCTTTATCCATAACTCTTATTTTTACCCGATATCTTGCCATTCCTTCCTTGTACTTTTTATCACAATTAGTACACAGTAGATCATCTCCATCTGGTTTCAGTTTTCTGTTGCAACCCGATGTCATGCAAGATATGTACATCCATCCAAATGAACCTTCAATTCCTACAATCTCTGTAGGGACATAAAAATCCCAATCCTGCATTGAACCAAATAATTAATTAGTAACACTGCTAATTGAGTGATTAAATCTAGTCCTAGCAGACATATTGTAAACTGAATACAATTCTCACCTGTTTGTTTTTCAATAAATCACCAACTGAAGTGACAGTGATAGTACCACTCCTGAATTCAGAAATCCCAGTGGACTGGGACATAACTGTGGCATTGCTAATACTTTTTAAAGGACTATGAATAGTGGTTATCCTACACAATCCAAAAAAAAAAAAAAAAAAAAAAAAACAATGAATACAGTACTGTAAATAAGATTGAACAAAGTTTGATTTAAAAAGAAAAATTAGAAACTTACTTGGCCCTGAAATCTTCAACTTCCTGATAAGAGGAATTCAAGTACAGCTTGGTAGCATCATAGGAACTTGTGATCCTCACTTCACCTAATAGGACAACATAAAAAAAAAAAAAATTAAACAATGATGTATAAAATAATGATTTAGGGGGAAACAGAAAAATAAACAGAAATATATCTTAGGGATAACTAAACATCTTACCATTTACAATTTTAAACAGAAATATATCTTAGGGATAACTAAACATCTTACCATTTACAATTTTTGCCCTACAAAGCTGAATCACCACAACTAATGGTTCTTTGAGATCTGAATTGTAGAATGGTAGCATGGGAGCTACATGGGTATCCCAAACCGTGCATTTCAAATGATTTCCCCTGTATTGAAATGTGTTAGTAAAATGGAAAAATATTTTAATGAACTTAATACATAGATTGTGTGAAACTTACTCATTGTCTGCTATCTTGAAATCTATCAGTTTAGCTGGTTCCCCCCCCCCCCCCCCCTATTATTTTGTCAACTGGAGCATGTATCTCAATGACTCTGCCTATTACATTTGTAATCCAACAAAACAAATTTATATGGGTGGAAAAATTAAATCTGAAAATTTAGCATTGCATACAGAAATGACTTACCAAACATGACTTTGTCATTCACTAAAGTTGGATCTTTCAGACATTGATAGGGTTTAAGCTGAAACATGTTGGTAGGAAAGCCTCTGGATTTGATTGCCTTGACCTGAGTATCGTAGTTCAACCTTATCATATACTGATGATCACAAGTCCTATACATATAGTACTAGCTGAACACCAAATTTTTTTTTTTATAGAATAGAGCTTCCCTTCCTTGAAGACATTCTTGTACTTGTCTACATCCGAGTTTTGCATGTTTACATGAATAAAAGTTCCCTGCATGATAGATTAGTGAACAGGTTTTATACTGTGGAATGAAAGACAGGAAAATTTAACAGTGAAAAAATTGTGCTTACCTCTTGATCGCATACCAGAACCTCTCTACTCTTCATCTCTTTCGAGCCTCTCCTTTCCGGTATTTCATAAACTCTAACACACCTAACTCGTATGGCCCTCTCTCTATCAAGAGGGACAATATCTTTAACCAAAATATACTGACTTGGCATGGTTAAATTTGCAGGGATTTTGAATATGGTTGACTGCTAATGAAGAGATGTAACTGAAGAGATGGAACAATGGTGGGTAAAAAAAGATTGACGCAGAGGTTTATATAGGCTCAAGAAGTGATTCGACATTTGAAGATAGCATTACTTGCAGCCGGAATAGTGATGGAGTTTCCAAGAAAGAAATCAGAATCATCATGCTGATTGTTTCGAAGCATTTTTTTTAATACGTTGTTCAATATGTATGTGTATATCTGAATGTCTTTAGGTGTATATATGTAAATAGATATATGAAGTCTTGGAAATAGATTACATTTAGGTTATCATTAGAAGTCTTACATAATTAGAAGTCTATTTAATTACGTTGGTATCATAACATATTAGCCGTATAATGCACATTGGAAAGCCAACCGTTGATTGAAGACAATAAATTCGAAGCTTTATTCTGACTTCTCAAAATGACGTAGTTTCGTATGGGCGGGAAAGTGTGTTTAGAAGAAAGTTACTGCTTTATTATATTGATAGATAGATTATGACATAGTCGAGGAACCATTTTGATAATTTACCCAAAAAAATAGCCATGACCCATGTTTTGCACACGAAGTGCCCTTCACGCGCCCTATTGGGCAGGTAAACAAGTTGATTTTTTTTTTCTCACTCCTTCTCTTGGGCAATTTATATCATGGATGAGAGTCCATATAACATTATGGATCATGGATTTAAACAACAAGGTACATAATTTATACTCGTAAGGTACAAAATTTCATAACATAAAACACAAAAAATTACAACACAAGACACATAGCATAACATTATAGACTCAACTAGATTGGAAAAATAGGTACATAATTCATACTCATAAGGTACATAATTTCATAACACAAGACACAAAAAAATCATAACACAATACACATACACATGTTATATATTTACTTATTTTTCAAATCTGATTTAGGTACATAATTTGTGTTCGTAAACACAAAATTTCGCAACACAAGACACATATATTCATAACATAAGACACAATTACTAATTTGTTTCAATCACATAATTCATACTCATAAGGTACAAAATTTTATAACGCAAAGACATAAAAAGTCATAACACAAAACACAAATACATGAACCAAGGTCCATTATGAAGTGTGAACCAAGGTCCATTATGAAGTGTGAACCCTGGTCCATGATATAACGATTGCCTCTCTTCTTGTTGGGCCGACAAAGACTCATTCTAAGTTTCTACCTTTATTGTCGCTTTTATTAGAATTGTATTAGTAGTCTTGTATTAGAACACTTGAAGCGTTATGTTGTGCAATCGTGTGCACCATGCAAGGTGTACACGGAATTGGCTCCATAATTTTTATACTGTAGATTCATAATTTTTAAACAGTAGATTCATAATTTCTATACTATAGATTCATAATTTCTATACTATAGATTCATAATTTCTATACTGTATAGTTATCAAATTATGAAACATATAGTTCAGTGATTTGTGAATACAGAGTTCAACAATTGGGAATATGAACAAATGAACAATGAAAATTATGAACATAGAGTTTTGTAATTGTGAATATAGAGTTCAATAATTATGAATTTATAGTATAGAAATTATGAATCCAATTCCGTGTGGCACCATCCATGGTGCACACGGTTGTACAACATAAGGAATAAGGGTCAAATAGGCTATCGAACTGCACACAATAATGCAATTAGGCCACCGAACCCAATAAAGCTACAATTAGATCCATAACTAACAATTTTCTTGCAATTTGTCTATTTTGTAAGTTTTCTAAGTTGCTAGTAGGTCACCCTTAGAGGGCGTTTGGTTCAGGTTATATAACATAATCAAGGGAATGTGACATTCCGAAGCTCAGATTCCTATGTTTAGTTCATATTATCTGAGGGAATCTAACATTCCCAAGGAATGTCACATTCCCTCCACATAGGATTTTGAAGGGAATGTGATTCCCTTCAATTTCTTAGGTTATGTAAGATAACCTTGGTTATGTTAGAGATATTATAGTGTGTGTATAAAAGATAACCCTAAACCAAACATGATTATATAACATACCCCAATTTTAACCAAACACAGGAATCTAAGATTCTCAGTAATCTAACATTCTCAGCAATCTAACATTCCTTAAAGTAATCTGACATTCCGTGAACCAAACGACCCCTTAATTTAAAATATTTATTATTTAAATAATTATTTTAAATTAAAAAAAAAAAAAGAAAGGAAGAAAGATACCGATCGTCTCCGGCCATGGATTCGTCTCCATGGCCGGAGACGAAGAAGTTATCTTCGTCTCTGGCCGGAGGCGAAGATAACTTCTTCGTCTCCGACCACGGAGACAAAGAGCTCTTCGTCTCCGGCCATGGAGATGAATCCATGGCCGGAGACGATCTGTTTTTTTTTTTTTTTTTTTTTTTTTTATTTTATTTTATTTTATTTTAAATAATTATTTTAAATAATAAATATTTTAAAAAATATTTTAAATAAAAGGTGACTTGCTAACAATCTAGAAAACTTATAAATTAGACAAATTGTAAGAAAATGGTTAGTTTAGAGATTTAATTGTAACTTTTTTAGGTTCAATAACCTAATTACATTATTGTGTGCAGTTCGATGGTCTATTTGATCTTTATCCTATAATAACATAATTTGCCAGAACACTTTTCTATTGTAATATTATTATATTCTGTACTATCCTATTGTTGTTAATAAATGATTCACAGATATTCCATCCACATCGCTTTAACACTATAGTGCATCTATAAATACAGAAGGTTTATCGACAACCTATATATTCTCATTTGAAATCGTTAAAAAAAAATGTATTCAAAATTTTCACCAACCCAAAAATTTCCTCTAAATATTATATATGAACTAAATAAATTATTGAATCTCAAAATATGTCGAAATCTCCTATTCAAAGTTTCAAAATAATATTTATACGTTATTGGAACATTATTTTAAATTATTAGTGTGCATTTAATAATCAAAAGAGAGAAAAAAAAAAAAAAAACAACAATTAAAGCGAGTACACTATACCCAGTATTACTGTCACCCACAGTTTTTATTTGTTTCGTAAAATACGCGTAACCCGGTCGTACCACCAGCGTCTATTTCAGCAATAAAGTTCAAAATCTAAGTATCATAAAAACTTTGCCCAGAATTTTCATGTAATTACATTACAGATTTGAAATTAAATTAAAATCTCACGCAGCTCCGATCCCAATTTCTAGGGTTTACATTTTCTCTTCACTCGCATTCATACATGCGTATGCGTGGAATCAAGGATGTATAGTAACTTCAAGGAACAAGCGATTGAGTACGTAAGGCAAGCAGTTCAGGAAGACAATGCGGGGAACTACGCCAAGGCATTTCCGCTCTACATGAATGCATTGGAATACTTCAAGACTCACCTCAAGTACGAGAAGAACCCTAAGATCAAGGAGGCGATCACCCAGAAGTTCACCGAGTACTTGCGCCGCGCCGAGGAAATCCGAGCGGTGCTTGACGAGGGCGGAACGGGGCCCGGTTCCAACGGAGGGGATGCGGCCGTGGCTGCCAAGCCCAAGTCCAAGCCCAAGGATGGGGGGGAGGACGGGGAGGATCCCGATCAGGCTAAGCTTCGGGCTGGATTGAATTCCGCGATCGTTAGGGAGAAGCCTAATGTGAAGTGGAGTGATGTTGCTGGGCTCGAGAGCGCCAAGCAGGCCTTGCAGGAGGCCGTGATTTTGCCTGTCAAGTTTCCACAGTTTTTCACCGGTGAGGTCTTTTAGGGTTGCATGTTTAATATTTTCTTACTTCATTTGGTTATGTGTCTGTCTGTATGCCATGTTTTGTTTGTGAAGTTGGTTGCTATATTGATATTTCCTTTTACTAGTTATGTTATTTAGAATATGAATTAGCTCTGCCATGGAATTGGTTGGCATTGGCTATTGATGATCAACTACTTCAAGATGCCAATAAACTGAACTATGTGAATATGTAATGGTTTTACTTTGAGCAAGTTTGAGTTTGAGCTCAGCTCAGCTGGTTAGAAGATTTATTAATTATTACTGTATGAGCTTCCTGCTTTTGCTGGTGTAGATGCTTTCATACCCGAGCTGAAGGCCTAGTTCTTAGGAATAATTTCATTCTGTGGCTCTGGGTGTCTGGAGTAACAATATCTACTATCCCATATCGGTTTTAATCTTTAGGTGTTTGGGATTTGCTGGTGCATACCACCACTTGGTTGCAGACCAAATCTGCTTTAACATCAATTAAGAAGAGTTATCAAACTAGAACTTAGAACACAACTAATTGTTCCCATTGGATGATGACCTTCTAGATTTTCAATACTTTCATAAATCTGTTTTTGTTGCTCCACATGTTATAAATTGACTGAAGAACTCCCCAAAAAATGCCCAAAAATACTTGATCTAAGTTTTCTACATAAAAATACATTATGGATATATGTGAAATTGATATATTAGTTTATATGGGAGAGTGGGAGACTGAATTTTGGTTTCCTCCTTTTTGTCCTTATAGGCAAAAGACGGCCATGGAGAGCTTTTCTTTTATATGGTCCTCCTGGAACAGGGAAGTCCTATTTAGCCAAGGCTGTTGCTACTGAAGCAGAGTCCACTTTTTTCAGGTATATCATATTTTGCTCTCCTACGTGCAACCTAATAGTGGTATCTAGTGCAGCTGTCCAAAGAACTTTTCTATTTTAAAATTTGAGCAGTACATTGGTCACATCTCCTCTAACTGGCTTGAGCATTTATCCCCATTGCAAATATTAAAATACTGAACATAATCACATATCTTTTTCTTCTTCCTATGCTGGTCTGTGCTTCTTGCTTGCTTACTTTGGAGTTTCTCATGTTCAGTATATTTGTATAGCAGGGATCTAAATGTCCGTGCTTGGTGGGGCTAATGTTTGAACTAGGAATTTGCTGTTAGGAGAGTTTATCACTTTGTAATTGTTATTAGCTTTTCAATAACATATGCTCACCTTCTCTTCTCAAGTCATTTATTTTTGCTTCTGCTAGAATTCTACTAGGTTGGGTGGTACATTGGGTTTACTGGATTTTGCGCTTCCTTTGTTGTTTTTGCAATTCTTCCCATATTTTTGTAAAATGGGATAAGTTGTGAGAAGTTTTGTGTGTTGATTGGGCTTCCTTTTCCTGTATCTGAGTTGCATCCCATTGGTGCTTTGTTAAACTTCTTTACCTATTAAAATTTAAAATAATACAGTTCTTGCTAGCCTGAAGGACTTGCCGTATTTAGCCCTTGCAAGTTGTGCACAGATAATCCTTCTGATACTTTATGTAAGTAAATAGAGACCACTGTTCATTTACAAGGTGCCTACAAGGAATATGCTCACGCTGAGGCATGTTTCATTCATGCATGATTTTGCTCCTTCAAATATATACCTGTATTGTCTAAAGATTTTACATGCATGAGAAACTTAGGCTATAAAGTTGGCAAGTGCCAACTTTTGTTTTGGTGCAGTGTATCATCATCAGACCTTGTTTCAAAGTGGATGGGAGAAAGTGAAAAGCTTGTCTCTAACCTTCTCCAAATGGCTCGCGAAAGTGCTCCTTCCATTATATTCATAGATGAAATAGATTCCTTGTGTGGACAGCGTGGGGAAGGAAATGAGAGTGAAGCTTCCAGACGTATTAAAACAGAACTACTTGTGCAGATGCAGGTGACTGCTGTCAAAACACCCTACCCTCTTTATCCCCCAAAATAGGAAAAACAATGAAAATGGGAAAAGAAAATGCTGTGCCTGTAATATGCATTATTTAAAGCTATTTTATATTTGTCCTTCTCTTAGTACAATTTTAGACTAATAGGCATAATAATAATAATAATAATAATAATAATAATAATAATAATAATAATAATAATAATAATGTAATAATAATAATAATAATAATAAGGTTTTAGAGTCTCGTGCACATGTTACCATGTTCATGTTGATGATGTTCCAAAGCACGAAATGTCGTTATTACTACAGCAGAAAATCTTGATGGTATAGACATCACATTTTTTCATTTTCCTGACTAGATTCACTTGTTTATTTGAATATAAGATGCTAATTAAAAGAGAGAGGTAGCTTTGATTCTCATGCCAAACTGGATCTGTTAGTATTTGGTTGATGACACTAGAGACATGCTTGTGCTTGTTTAAATCTTCATTAGTTTGATACTGGAGCTTATCTTATGCACATTACATTTACAGGGGGTTGGTCATAATGATGATAAAGTGCTTGTACTTGCAGCCACAAATACTCCATATGCTCTTGATCAGGTGAAGAATAATTCAAAATATACATTCATAACCATTTTGATTTTACTTTTAACACTTGTTTTCTTTTACAGGCAATCCGACGACGATTTGATAAAAGGATATACATTCCACTCCCAGATGTGAAGGCACGGCAACACATGTTCAAGGTAAATGCAGTTGCCCTTCATTCTTTGGTTGACATAATTTAGTTGTTCTGGAAGGTCAGTGATAACCTTACTCTTGGCGATCCAGAAACGAAACTGACTCTTCTTATGTTATGGCCCATGCCACTTGTTTAGGTTCATTTAGGAGACACCCCCCACAATTTGAGCGAAAGTGACTTTGAGGATTTGGGTTATAAAACAGAAGGTTTTTCTGGTTCAGATATATCTGTTTGTGTAAGTGTGGATTAATGATCCTGTTGGCTTACATCTACAATGTCTGTTGATTTGTATCTCTTATTTATTTTCTGCTTCAATAGGTTAAGGATGTCCTCTTTGAACCTGTACGCAAAACCCAAGATGCTATGTTCTTCCTTAAGACTCCTAATGATACATGGATGCCATGTGGACCAAAGCATCCAGGTGCAGTCCAGACAACTATGCAGGAGCTTGCTGCAAAAGGACTCGCCTCAAAGGTATATTATTTTAACATAGATCGTCAAATTGAGAATAAAAGTTAAGTCGATGACATTTGTATTCTCTGGATATGGACTTAGCTGGAGCATTTGAGCATCTCATGAAGTTTTTATATTTAATTATTTATAAAAAAAAAAAAAAAAAACTCATACGAATTTCTTAGATATATTTACTGGATCAATAATTTTTTTTTTTGAGAGTACAAATATAAAATATTAGAGCTTTATTGGTGAAAAGGGGTGATCTACTTCCATTAGATGCACCTATATATTCCTGGTGACCAGGACAAAGTTCGAATATAATTGGAGATATGGCATGAAAAATAACGTTTCCTAGTTTGTCTTCCTTGAACCCTTTTTCAATATCAATGTTGTCACTTTGAATGGGGTGAGGCCAGGAGGAGAATTTGTACTCTGAACTCGAGGTCTCTGGTAGCTGATAAACTCTAATTGGGAATTATTGATCTTTAAGCTAATAGTTGGTCTTGTGTGAAATATTCTCACACAAGTTTTTGTGAAAAAATTTATAAATGGTTATAATCGATCAATGCTTGCAGATCATTCCCCCACCCATCACGAAGACAGATTTTGACAAGGTGCTTGCACGTCAAAGACCAACTGTGAGCAAAGCGGATCTTGATGTGCATGAGAGATTTACAAAAGAGTTTGGAGAGGAGGGTTGAGGAGCTGGCATATATAACTATTTGCAGGCTGGATCTCATGTATGTTGTATGGCTTTCTATTTTCTTCAAAGAAGTAAGACTCATGGAATGAAAAATATTCATGAATTGCAGTTTGGTTCCACTCTTTTGCAAATATGTTTATTCTCACCTTTATACAGATTAGTGTTTTCTTCTTAAGCTAAAAATGACAAACCTGGAAATTAATAACCAAAAAAGAATTGAATAAATAAGGATGTGTTTGGTTCGCACATAGGAATCGGAATCGGAATGGGTATCAAATACTTGGTAATAGTAATGGATTTTGGTGAAAGTATTTAACATGTTTGGTAGTAGGGTGGAATGAGAATGGTTACTAATAGTAGCTTGAAAATGAATAAGGGAATGAAACCCTTATTGTATTTGGGTATGGGTTTTTCAATTGATGGGGTATTCGAAACCCATAGTAGTGATCTAAAAACCTATCAAGCAAACAACAACAATTACTTTCATACCCATTCCTATGGGCAAAACCCACCAACCAAACACACCCTAAGTTGTATTCTTAAACGTATATATTTATGAGCTTTTGTCATTTTTGGTTCTTAAATGATTCCAATTAGATCTTTAAATTATGAAATGTTCGAGCCAAGTGAACTTGCTAAATTGATACAAATGAGTTGATTTACTGATTATTATTTGGTAACGGGTTAAAATTTGATTGCATAGCATCCATATATAACCTTAAGTATTGTCGTATTGATAGTGGTGTAGGGATTATGCTCAAATTGGGCAAATTCTTGTGTGTGTCAACATTTGGTATGTCTGTCGAGTCATTGAGTCATTGTGATTTATATCTTCTCAAATATTCTGTCGGGCTAAGGTGTGTGACCCTTGAGATTGGGAATTCAACCTTTTTGGAGAAGAAGTATTGATAATTGTTATATCATGGGTCATGGTTCACCTAGCATTGTGGATCTTGGTTTAAAAATTGTGTATACAATTAATATTTTATGTGTCTTACTGTAAATAAATTGAAAATATAATATATTAATTGCATGCACATAATATCTCAACGGTAGGTGCACACCATAATATCTTAATTGTCAATACGCACATAATATGTTAATTGTATACGCATAATTTGAATGTGAGTTAATACCCAAAATGGTCCCTCGACTATGCCATAATTACCAATTTGGTCCTCAACTACCATTCTTAACCAATTAAGTCCTCAACTATGTAACTTTTACTCAATTAAGTCCTCAACTATACAATTCTTACCCAATTTAGTCCTCAACTATACAATTCTTACCCAATTTAGTCCTCTGTATTAATTTGACTGTTTGTTGACTGTCAAAACTCGGGATAAAATTATAATTTTACAAGATTTCTCATTCCTCTCCATTTAGCAGCGCCAAACCATGCAGCAATACACTCCGATCAGATTTCGATCGTCAAAAAATCGTTGAAAATCAAATTCATGGGCTATCCGATGCATAACCACTACTTCGACACTGACAGGTTTAGAACCCAACCCGAGCTTATTGCTACATGGTTTGGCGCTGCTAAATGAGGAGGAAGGAGAAAACTTGTAAAATTACAACTTTATTTCCACTTTTGACAGTCAACAAACAGTCAAATTGACAAAGGACTAAATTGGATAAAAATTGTATAGTTGAGGACTTAATTGGGTAAGAATGATAGTCGAGGACCAAATTGGTAATTACGACATAGTCGAGGGACTATTTTGGGTATTAACTCTTTGAATGTTATTTGGAATCAAGATTCACAATGTAAGGTGCATCATGATGCATCAGTAATAGACTAATAGTATAATTACACAATATTAATATATTTACCAAATAATTATTATGGTAATTAAGGAATTAATTAATTAATTGCACAGATATTAGTATAATTTACTAATAATTATATTATGGTAATTAAGTTAATAATTAACTTAATAATAGTATAATTACAATTAAACATGGTCGTTGGACTTGTTTTATAATTATTACAATTAATATATAGTGAGACTAAGAATTGAGGGGTGGATTTGATGGATGAGGTATCGACGGAAATAAAATCCTACATGGATGTGGTTTATGATGAGTGGCTTTGTTTGATTTAATTTGGTTGCCAGCAAGCTGTATTTACAGAGTTTTACAGCTGCAAATCAGTGGATTTAGTTGTTGATTGCAGTAGCTAGATGAGTACCATTTTGTCGTGCATGATGTAGTTTGGTAGTGTTGAGCTCTGGATAGTAGGGGATTAGTAAGAGAAGAAGAAGGATTGTGTGGCAGGCAGGGATTCAAACTCTGGTTCACTGCTTATTATTTCTGGCAAATTATGTTGCGGAACCGTGTCCACCTTGCAAGGTAGACACGATTCCAAAACGGCGTTATTTTCGCAGAAAACGACACCGTTCAAATTTATAAAAAAAAAAAAAAAAAAAATCGCTTTTGCATCGCCGTTAAGGCTACAAAGCCTACCAATAACGCCTCCACTGAGATTCAAACTCATAATCTTTCAAATGAAAGTCCAACTTGGATACCATTAGACCACATAGTCCTAATATTTAGAATTGATGTTTGTATTTAGAATATGTGATTTACATTGATTATTTACAATGTATGTGATTTTTTTATTGGAAATTATTCACAATTTGGGTGTTTACTATGTTTAAACTTTTGGCAGTTCAGGTGTTCATAATGTTGCAATTGTGTATTCATAATTTTTGAGTTATATATTCAGAACATTTACTGGTACTCTATTCGGCTTGTAAAATCAATCTACATAAATTGCAAGTTACATGTTCATAATTTTTGAGTTATATATTCAGAATTATTGAACTATATATTAGAACATTTACTGGTACTCTGTTTCATCTTGTAAAATCAATCTTCATAAATTGCAAGTTATGTTCATAATTTGTGAGCTACATCTGTATGTTTCAATTTCAAAAAGAACATATATCATATCCTTTTGAGAACAAACCGAGATTTGACAGGATTAGATTAGTTTCATCTTGCGAGATATGAACAAAGTATTATGAAAAAGTAAGAAGGGAATGAAAATTGAACAATACACAATCTTTTGGGTAGAAATATATTTACGTGCTGGCTGGGATGAGCAGGCAAACCTAACGCTTGAACTAACTCCATTTCAACTTAACTTGCTGAAGAGGTCCGGTCCGGTCTGTCCAAAGCATATTTTTCTAATTTCTGAAAAATGAACTCAAAAACTAGATGAATTTAATTATCTGGAAAGGGCAAAGGGAGCAGAATGGAACATTATATTTTGCTCAAATATACTTGTTTACCTTAACAATATATGTCATGGTATTGTCTGATCGAGAAAGAATCAAACTCAACAATCTTTGGCTGCTAACTTTTCACATTTAGTATCCATAAAAAGGATCAAATTAGCATCACAAAAAATCAATATGTATGCATATATAATCTCAACTCACAACCCTAATTTCCCCTAAACTGAATAAATCATCAAAACTGCTAAAATTTACATATATAGTACGTACCTAGTCCTAGGCTTCCAAATAATGCTGAGAGCGACACTCTTTCATCTTTCCCTCAACAAAAATCATACAATTTCCATCACAATGATACAAAGAAAATCTCATGGCTGACAAAATCCATACACACACACAGTTCTCTGCTCCATTTTTTGCTATGAAAGCCAAGCATGTCGGCCATGTCCTCCGTCCTCGAACAATTTCCCACATCGAAAATACAGCAGAAACATTTCCTCTTAATAAGGCTGTAGTTGGAAGAATTGGTCGCTGGGCTTGGTAGCGCGAGCCTGTAACCCGAGTGGGAGTATTAAGATGGCGGAACAATTGGAACCGCCCAAATTGAACCGTCATCTTTTTGAAATGTTTTGGGCGGAGGAGAGAGAGATCGCTAAGGGCAGTGGAGGCGGGCGGTGATGCTGTTGAGGCTGTCTCTGGGGAGGTTGACTTCGACATCGGTCTGCTCTTTCAGTGTTTCAGAGCTCAACCTTTCGAGGAAGCAATAGATCTTCGCCCTTAGCAGTCTCTGAGAGTGGGTTGCGAATTGCTATGCGTATTTTTAATTGTGAAAATAATGAAACCTTCAATTCTAATTAACTTCTACCAAAATTGGCTTTAAGAGTGACCTTTTAAATTATTTTTGTAGTTTTTTTTGGTAGGAAAATTATTCGTGTAGTGATAATTTTAATCTCACACCTTAAATATCTATTAAAAATTAACATGGAAAATAATACTTAATTTAGTCTCTCGATTATTAGGATTTCACCAATTTAGTCCTTATTATCAAAGTTGCTCAATTTAGTTCCTAACTATACAATTTTTACTTAAAATAGTCCATCGACTATTAGAATTTCCCCACTTTAATTCTCGACTAACAAAGTTACTCAATTTAGTCCCTAACTATACCAAAGTTATTCAATTTAGTCGCCAACTATGCAAATGTTAACTTAAAATGTAAGTTTAGTGTGCATTTGGGGACCTTTTTGTAGACCTGGCAATTATGAACACGACACGAAACCGGACATGAAAATAACGAGTTAGTGTTTAGTCTTAACGTGTCCTGGGTCATTAACGAGTCGACCCGTTATGTTTCGTGTCTTACGGGTCAACCCTTTAAACCTATTAAGAACCCGTTTAACCCGTTAATATTATCGTGTTAACCCATTAACACGAACCCGTTTACACAAACCTGTTTAAAACCCGCTAAGGACCAATGTCATTTAAGTAGGCACCGCACTCATGAATGAGATTACAAAAGATATTATGAACATGACTAATGATGAATTTACTACATTAGGCCAAGATCCTACACCAATTATTGATGTTCAATAATTTGAAATTTTAATTTTTATTATGTTCAATTTTATTCTAAAAACAAGTATGGATTTCTTTAATTATGATTTTTGGATGTTATTTTATCATTTTATGAATGTTATGAATTGAATATTTTTTTTGTTTGTTTGATGGATTGAATTGTATGTTTTATTTATTTTTGAGAAAATGGCACTTTTTCCCCCTGAGTTATATACTTATAGCACTTTTTCCCCCTGAATTATTTATGTAAGCACATTAGCCCCCTCAATTATTTTAAAAGTGGTGGTTTTCCCCCCTAATATATTTTATTGACATTTCTACCCTTAAAGTAAACATTTTATTTATTTTTCCTTTTCAATAAATTATTGCGTATACATAGGGATGACCACGGTTCGATTCGAATTGAACCAAACACTATAGCAATCGAATTAAAAGTTTCCGGTTATGATTCAGATCCAGAACCCAATATTTTAATTTCAATTCATTAAAATTATGAATCGAAAAAACTGGATCCTGAACCGTGAACCGGCGGTTCTAGATCCGGTTAGCGATTTTAAACCGTCTTTATTTTTAAAATTTTAATTTTTTATTTTAAAATAGTCTAAATTCAACAATAAATGTATTTTATTTTTTTCAGTTTGGACCATGAACCGGCCGTCCCGGTTCACGATTTTAATAAAATCTAAATATCGTGTTTCGATTCTAAATTGTAATTAGAATATTTCGATTTGATTTCTATAGTGTCTGTTTGGTTTGAACCAACTTGTGGTCATAATTTGTTAGAGAAAAATAAATGAAATATTTATTTTAAGGGTAAATATGTCCATTTAACATTTCAGGGGGAAAAACAGCCACTTGAATAATTCAGGGGGAAAAAGTGCTATATGTATATAACTTAGGGGGAAAAAGTGCCATTTTCCCTTTATTTTTTATATAATTAACTTTAAATTTTAGTTTTTCAAATATATTAATAGAAATAGCGGGTTTAAACGGGTTTCGTGTCGTATCGTGTTGACAAGACTTGAAACCTGTTAACAAAATGTGTCTATCGTGTCAACTCATTTAACCCGTTAACAAATCGTGTTCGTGTTAAAAATTTGAACCCGTTAACCATAACGTGTCGTGTCCGTGTTTAGCCTTATCGTGTTCGTATCGTTATCGTGTCAACCCGTTAACGGACCCGTATACACGAAATGCCAGGTCTACCTTTTTGGAGAGTCAAGGACCAAAATAGTGAAATCCTAATAATCGATGACCAAAGTGGTGAAATCCCTAAGGGGGCGTTTGGTTCACAGAATGTTAGATTACTTTAGAAAATGTTATTCCTGTGTTTGGTTAAAAATGGGGTATGTAATATAGTCATGTTTGGTTTAGGAGTTATGTTTATAATTTTTATGCTATAAAACTTTTTTACTTTAATAGCATTATCATATTTTCGTGTATTTCAATAAATTTTAAAATTAAATAAAATAAATAAAACAAATGTAACATATACTAGTACATGATTTAAAAATACATAACTAAGAGTTTGAACTCAAAAAATAAAATTATTTTACAAGCCAACATGGCATAATAAAAATAAAATAAAACATATAATTATAAAAATAATTAACAGTGTGTTTGGAAACTAGAAAATGTTTTCTAAAAATGAGTCGTTTTCAGAAAATATTTCATTTCCAGTGTTTGGTTGCATTCCAGAAATATGCCTTGGTGTGTTTGGTTCATTTTCCAAAAAATGATTAGAATTATATAATTAAACATTTTAATTGTTTTGCTTAGAATATAACAACATTTATAATAATACTAGTTTTTTTTACGCGATTTGCGCGAATAGGATAATGCCCAATGATTATTTTTAAATAAATATTTCAAAGTATAGCAATGCAATATTATATATGAGATGTTCATGCATAGGTAAATAAATGTTGAATTTGTTTATTTAAATCGGTAATTTAAAGTATATAAATGCAAGATAATATATGAAAGATTAATTATAATTGTCACTAAAATAAATGTTTGTAACTTTGTAATAACACTAGTCTAAATACTTAGTCTAAAAATGATAGTGTAAATAAATACTGTTTTGTTTAAATTTCTCTAATTCTTCTTAATTCTCTTTTGCGTAGCATTGTCATTGCCTTCATCTTCAGTACATGTCATTTTTTTTTAATTGGTAGTGTGTCGTGTGCAATTGGATACTGGTGGTAGAATAGAAGGATTCATCGTGCAATGAGATTATGATGTAGGAAGCTTTAGATTTGCCTTGTTTTACATTACTATGAATAATTGCCTTAAAAATTATGAATGGAAATGAATATTTCACACGGAAAAAAGAAAAATGAATGGAAATCAATATGAATTATTTATACGAAGGAAAAAGGAAATGAAAATTTAAATGGCAATTTTATTAATTATAGGTTAATTATTTATGACGGAAAAAAAATATGATTTGAGCACAAATTAACTAATATCTAATGAATTGGTACTGTAAATGACTGTTATAACAAGTTTTATGAATGGTAAGTAATATATTAGAATCTCGTTTGTATTACAAAATTAATAATATATATTGACTAAAATTTTATGTGGAAATTAACTAATATATTAGAATTGAGTTGAAATTTCTCATATAAAATTTTGTAATATATGAATATATGTACATAAAAAGGGAAAAATATAAAATTCCAATGAATTTTTTTTTTTCCAATTCATTAGATATTAGTTCATTTCTATATAAAACTAGTATTTGCACCCGTGCAATGCACAGTCATATATATAGTACATAGAATGATACAATATAATATAATAAAAAAAGATGATGATAAGCAATAATAATGTTAGGGAAGTAAAACATTTAAATTTTATTACACATTATTGAATACTTCTGTGTATACGACATTAGTAGCCATACTTATAGATTGTACATTTTCCAAAACATTATCAACTAACTTTGTAAGAATAAACCTTGTACTATTACATAGTCCTAATGAGTGATCAATATTTCTCAAGAACATAACAGTGAATCAACTTTTAGAGCAAGTTCATAAAAGATGTATTATTATGAATAATATGTATATAAACAATTATTATTATCATAGTTAATTATGTCTGAAAATTTTAAAAAATGTATTTTTCACCTCTTCATTTGTAAAGAATCTCGTCTGTTTATTTTTATCAAAATGAAAGCAGAGTTAGTTCAAGTTTGTTTTTTACCTGTGGCTAAATGTGAACCCATGGAGTTGTAGTTACCTATGGGGTTGTATTAAATCTGAACATATATATACTAAGGATAATATCAAAACCCAAAAAAAAAAAAAACATAAAGTAAAATATAGGCTTACAAAACTAAGTAGAAGTAAAAGATTATAACTTACCTTTGTTTTATTTGAATACAGTGTGTTATCACCATTAATTTTATTTGAATACAGCCGACTAAATTTTTTCTCATTTGATCTAACTAGTCTTTTAGTAGCAACCCATAGTTTTGTCTCATATTTTAATGTGGCAACAATTCCAATATGACACTCAACTAAACTTTCCAGAGCTTATGAACAGATTATACCATTGCAGAGTCCGGAGTTTATTGTTCCTTGGCTTTGTTCATTAGTTCCATTATTTTTAATGGACTCCTTTTTAATGATGATGATGATGATCATACAGTTCATGCAAGCTGAGGAATTATACACATGCTCCCTTCCTGATACAATGATTCAACTTGTATTGTTTAATAGGTAATTGACTTAACACTTTTCAAATATTTATTGCTTGAGTCCTACCTTTATGTGCTGAATATTTATTTGCACTATCAGTTAGAGCGTCAATTGATTAGAACATTGGATACATTGTAAACAATCATTTAATTTCACTAAACTATTACATAAGGTATTAACGGAGGTAGGTAACATGAAAATCTTCTTCTTTGCATTTGTATATGTGATTCTGCCAGCCTCTAGGTGTCTAAGAATAATCCTCCAGTGTGTCAGGTATATGTGATTCTGATGAGTCGATTTTTACCTGCAAAAAGGAAAAGAAAGTAATCCAAAAACAGCTAAGTTAAACCACATACTTTGTAAATCTATTACAAAGTTGATCCCTTCCTAATATTCTTCATGAATCTGACAGATTCATGTGAATATGACTCCTAGATTGGTCCTGCAAAAAAAAATTTAAAAGAATCCAATTATAGACAATGTAAACTAA